CCCGCCCCGCCCGCCCGGCACCCCCCCCACGCCACGCCAGAACGCCTCCTAATGGCTTTTAATATTTCGAATCCTGCCTTAGATTCTGGTGTGCCGTTGGTCAAAACAGCCCGAAATTTCTTAATTTATTTCCCCAAGTGCCCCAATGGTTTTCGCTGTGGACTTAACCTTGAGGCTTTGCGAGTCCCCTAACAGCTGGCATCTTGCTTCCTTCAGATTGAGGGGTACCCATTATTTCCCCTTGTTGAAATATCCTCCCTTAGTCAACCAGGCTTACTGTTTCTGGCTGCCTGTGCACAGTTCCCGAGACCGGTCAGTACCTCCCGGAGGCCCTTACCTCGTAGGTGAGGTTGGCCACAAACCCAAATGTTGTGGCCCATTAAGTCTTACCTTGAAAAATTTGGAGTTTCTCACACCCCAATTTTCCACCTGGAAGGATGCGGACAAACTCGAAGAGCTCAGAAAGGCAGAGTAAGGGGATCCCGGAGAGCGGCTAAGAGGTGGTGTACCTGAAGGGCTTTGAGGCTACCCTCACCTTCGTCCAGGAGCCTCTCGGTACCTCCAACAGCTGCCTTCAGGACTTCTTTCTGCGCCAAAACTGTCAAAGGACAAACCTAAAACACTTTAGTAACAAATTTATGTCCTTTAGTCAAGGGAACACAACCCATGGATTGGGGGAGCGCAGGGCCTCACACGCAGTGCAGCCCGCTCCCAGGATTCTGGGCAGGAGCGAGTTTCACCCAGCGTTAGAGGCAACGTGGAAACGTCACAATTGGCCAGAAGGAGGGGATTCACGAGAGGAGCAGGTTCTGTTTTCAAGGGTCAGGTAAACAGGCCACAGCTGAGCTGGAGGGCTGTGATTGGCGGGTGTCAGGTTCCTTGACAGGTGACGAATTACCTTCATCAGGGTTAATTGATATAAACAGGCCTTTGATGATCTTCCTAAATTGCCCCAAAGCAGGATGCTAGCAGACCTCTTTCTCACTTTGTAGAAACTGAAGCTTTTAGCAGCTGAATTGTATATGCAAGAGAGAACTAGCTTGAAAACAACGGTTCTCATTTCTGGCTTCACATGAGAATCATCTCTGGAACTTCAAACGTTTTTTTGTATTTTTAAGTTTTACTAGATTCTTTGGAAACTAGTGAAGTCCCTGTCTCACTCCCAGAGATAATGGTTTAATTAGTTGCCTTGTGGGAACTTCCCAGCAGTTTTTGGGTTTTGTTTTTGTTTTTAAAGCTACAGGGGTTTTTCTAGTGTGTTCGTGACTCACCAGTGAAAGGTGGAGGGAAGGAGGCGGAATCTTAAAAAGTGTTCAAAATCCACATGATTAATTCTTTAAATATAAAAAAAGAGATAATTTTTGTAAACCTGCTAGGTACAAAGCATTGACACGTGCACTTGGAGAATGAAAAGAAAATGAATTTCCCTTTGGCAGGGGATTACAGTTTTGCCCTTCGTCCATAAATTCAGAACCTCTTAGACTTGTTAACTAAGCCATAATCTTGAGGTGATCACCTGTGTTAGCTAATTGACTTTATGTGGGGCGAGGGACGAACTTGTATCTTTACGACGGAAGTACTTCTACAGCTTGGAGCACCGAAATTAGGCTGTTACCCTCCCACAGAAACTGGAGGATGGGGTGCTGTCTCTCACATTTACATTTCAAAGAGATGGCTCCCAGGTACCTTGAGAAACACTCCTAGGTCCTAAGGCTGTGTGAGTGGAGGATGGGTCTCTGAGCCTGAGCTCAGGGGCCGCAATGTTGAAACCCTCACAGATGCAGGTACTAATAGCAGCCCTGACCCGGCCAAGGCCTGGGTCAGGAAGCTGCCCACTTCCTCCCTCTTCCAAATGTAGGGCACTGTAAGGACAAATAAGAGTTTAAAAGAAGAAGCTTGATTTCCTTTCTATATCAGAATATTTACCTTAGAAAACTTTAAAGTATTTTCTCATCTCTTTGAAATGTATCTGTTTAGAAACTAAATAAGCCTGTCAGCTTTACAACCTAGGAGTGTTTCTCAAGGACCCGGGAGCCATCTCTTTGAAATGTAAATGTGAGAGACAGCACCCCATCCTCCAGTTTCTGTGGGAGGGTAAGAGCCTAACTTCGGTGCTCCAAGATGCAGAAGTACTTCCATCGTAAAGATATGAGTTTGTCCCTCACCCCACATAAAGTCAGTTAGCTAACACAGCTGATCACCCCCATCACAGGTGAACTTAGGAATACCTGCAAGTGACTAATGGCGCTGTCAAGTTCTCTTTGCTGAGGACTAGTTACTGTTTTAAGAACATGTATGTAATGGGCTCTACCTGCTTGGCTGTATAGAAGGGTGAGCGTTCTTTGTCTTTGCAGCCTCAGCCAGTTGCCTGTGATGAATAGCACACTCTGGCTAAATGTTCAGGAAAGAATAAAAGTGTTAACTTCCTCTGCGACCTTCGTGGAGAGGATTTCTGGGTTGGGAGGTTTTTTGTTTTTTTTTAATTGTATCTTCCCAACAGCACCTTCACTCTTTATTCTAAGGTTACTGTCGTTTTTACTCGCACCTTCCCTAACCATGTGGACAAGTACTAAAGATATAGGTATTTTTGTTATAAACTTCCTCCATTCTACCCAGCTTCAGGTGGAACACAGGAGTTAGGATAATTCCAAATAGTGACGATGTTTCAAGAAGTTGAGTTTATGATTGTAGCTTTTCTGTTTGTAGTTGAGTGATTATTTCATGCTAGTCTGTCATGCTGAATAAGAAATACTGGTTAATGATTCCCACTTTAACAGAAAAAAGAGAAAAAGGGAGAAGAGAGAGTTACCTGGTTTTAAATTTTGTATACACCTCTTTTGACAGATAGAAATTAAAGTATTTTTAAATAATCCAATCTGTTCATCTTTTCTTATGTGATACCCTTCATTGTTTTTCAATTAAAAATTTATCAAAGTAATCCATGTACTTTTTTTTAAAAAGGCAAGTAATTCTAAATAGCTTATAATGAAAAACAGCAGTTCCCTGCCTTATTCATCAGGGCCTCAGTAACTGTACCAGTAGGATTTGATCAGAGAAACAGAGCCACTAGGAATGATACAGAATAAAGGACCCACAATAGAGATTTTACCTTAGACAATTATGGGAGCCTGTTGAACAGTCTGTAAGGCTTTTGCTTCTGTGTCTGGGGCTGGGGCATAAAACCAGCAGGGCAGGCAGTCTGCATGGGAAAATGGACTTGAAGTGGAGGAGAGCAAGGACAAAGTTGAACCTGCATCAGTCTCTCACCCCTGCCAAGCCTCCAGCCTCAATGATGCAGGTGCCCTGCAGGAGAAGCCGGTGTCCTTCGTCACGGAGCTAAATGTACACCTGCCCTGGAGCTGATGAAGCTGATGGAGGTCACTCCTGAGTCCTTTCCTAGAATCATCATGTGAATATAGGAAATTAGCTAAACCACCAAATTTATTTCCTCAACATGTCATTCGTCTTCCTTGCAAAGGTTTAAAAACTGCTATTTATTAAATGTTCTATATATGTACGGACTAAAACCCGGTAGTTCCTCACCACCACCTGGGTGGTGTGCAAACAAACAATGTGTGTCTGTGTATGTATGCTCATTGCAGAAAACTTGGAAGAATGCACACACATGCACTATAAGTTATTTAAGCTTTCCCCCATTTGTCTATCATTCAGGTTCCCTATTTATCCATGGAGCTGACCTCTTGGCTCATATATGTTGGGTGTGGAAAGTACACCTTCCTACAAAAAAGTATGGCTCACATATCTAGTATAAAGTAACAAGTATAGTACCTAAACCACACCCAGGGAGACAAAACAAAATCCACAAAAATGCTCCTCCCTTCTTCTGGTCCGATAGAACTTCATTCTGAGTATATATGTAATCTATCTATCTATCTATCTATATATATGTGTGTATACATATATATATACACATACACATATATATGTAAAATAATGAGATATATATATCTTTATTTTAAAAGATATTACACAAGTATCTACCAATTTAGAAACAAATGGTTAGTATATACACTGGTTTTTAAATATTTCCTCATTTTAATAAATATCTTACGTTAAGTGTTCATTTTATTGATCATTCTTTGAGTTTCCTAATAACTATTACATATTGAGATGAATCTGTCACTCCAAATTATGAGTACACTGGTGTCTGCTATTTATATCATTTTGGGGTAGAAATCTCTATTTAATTGTTTAAATGAAATGAATGAATGCATGAATGAAATAAGTCCAAAGTAAATACATTCGAAAAATACATTTTAATCCCAAAGTCTGAATATTTGCATTTAGTTATTTACAATAGTATTTACAACTTTACTATAACTTTTGTGAAGAGAGAGAACTATGTACATAGAGCTAGCTATCTACAGTTGCTTCCTTCCAACATACAAATTGTAATTGTGTAGAAAAATGGTAACAGTTAAAACTGTTACAACTCAAAAGCGTTATGGTTAAATTAGATTCTGACAAATTTTCCTGGGGTTGAAAAATAATTATAGTTAAAGTCAGGACAGGAGAGGAGGCAAGTGTGCACTATCCCCATTTCTTGCCACTTTATGTTGCTGCTCCCTTACTTAGCTGACCTGCACTTGATCCTGGATAGAATTCCTGTACCTGGCCTTCTAAGTTCAAGACACCTTTTTAGGCCTGTAATTATGAACCCACAGCAAATGGTTTAACTTTGAGGTGGACTTTTTTCAGATATCAATGCTAATGACCTATTAATCATCTTTATGATTGCCCAATGTTTATTCAAATGGTGGTCAAGAAACTGGTGCTCAGGGATGGCTGAACAGTACATGTTTCCTGTGCGTTTCTAGTGAAGCTGACAGTCTGCACTATAAAACCTGATGGTCTGACTGGAAGCCTCGCTCTGATTGAGAAGGTAGGTGAGAACAGTGAAGAGCAGCTCTATTTAGATTAACTGAATGATTCCGAATCCCTGTTTGCTGCAGAAGAATGAGGAAAGTTTTAAAAAACCTGTGCAAATAAAATCATCTACCAATCACTTTCCTTAAGGTTAAAATAGCCAACAGTGTGCCATAGAATTTTCTAGATGATAGAATAAAGCTTTTCTAACTTTGTAATACATATTGTTGATCACTGCTACATTTTACTTGATTCAGCCCTTGGTTAGAAATACAAACCTTAATATTTCATTCTTGTAGAAAAATACAATCCATTTCATGAGTTTCTAGAAATAAATTATGGAGAAAAATAGATATTACCTGTTCCTAATGGTCTCCCTGGAAATTATAGTCTTTGCCTGAGAGATACATGTACTCAAAATATATTTAATTCTTTTCTATCTCTTCTAATTTTCTAAGTTGTCTAGTATTAAACAAGCTAATGATTACTGGGCAGTATGGAAAAAACTTTTTAGTCACTTTTCCACCTAAGAATTTCATTAAAGAAATATGTGGCATGTCTTACAGTAGTACAGATACAAGATACCTGAAAATCCAGTTTTACTTTTTAAACTATAAATGGTTGGCAACTGTTTCCTTAATAGTTATAGCAGGAGTAGGTCCAACATGAGTCCATATATAGCCCTTCTCTGGTCTGGTGGGAACTGTGGGAAACGGTGATGAACGTGACTTGAAATATTCAGAAGGTGCATGACAAACAAATTCCAAGTATTCCATCTTCCTTGGAAGATCCTCCTCTGGTCCTAAAAGGCAGCCAAAGTTCACATTTTGGAACATATATATCATTTTCATAAAATGTTAAAATTCTTAGACACTAGAAGAAACTGTTCTGGTGGTAACTTGACATTAGCCTTTGAAACATATTATTCTGAAGTTACTTTCCATCATTTTTTTCTGCTTCAACTGCTTAAAGAATATAGCATTCTCTCAAAAACAGTAACTCAGTATAGTTGTAAGAATAATATTTAGCCTTCCATAGTGTTTATTGTATGTCTCCACTGTTCTAAGCACTTTCTGTATATCAACACTTTGAATCCTCACAACAACCCTCTGAGTTAGGCAGTATTATTATTCCCATTTTACATGTGAGGAAATTACACAAGAGAGATTAAGGACACCTCACAGCTAGTAAGTGGCTGCACTACGAACCCAGACAGTCTGGCTCCAGAGCTTGTGCTCTGAACCTTTATGCTCTGCTCTCTCCTCTAGAATGTGAGGATTAGGAAGACGAGGTGCAACAGGAGCCCCAGAGGTGACTCCGCCACATTACTGCTTCTGCTGACATCCCCGTTTGATGGAAGACATAAATGAAGGTCCACTCTTTACGTACTTAGAAGCAGAAGACTAAAACTATTTGGTCATGTACCAAACTTGACGTGTAGGTGAGAATAATACTGGTACTTTATTTGTCCCTGAGTTCTCACTGAACAAAACCTTTTGTATGTCTTTTCTTAGAATGAAAAAGTAACACATGCCCACTGAAGAAAGGTTGAAGTCTGGAGTAATTTCAAAATTCTAAGCACTTTCAAAATTATATTTATCAGTAACTTCTTGTGAGTCTATGTCAAGAACCACTTCTTCAGTCAGCCCTGAAATTAATCAGTACAGTGGCTGCTATTTCAACTACCACCAATGACATAAAAAGTTACAGAAGGTCTAGGATGTGTGTGACATGCAGAAGGACACATACTGAGAATTGTAAGATTTTAGAAATAAATATGACAGCTCCTCAAGAAATTATTTTTCAGTAAGTTTTTGTATAAGTTACTAAATAACCTAGTTCTTGAGCAATAAATTCTTTTAATAGAGTTTAACCCTGGGTAACACAGAAAAATCTTATCCACATAGCTTTTCAGTAGGTGTGTACTGCTGTAACTCAAAACAACTGATGGCACTCAAACCCAGCTATATAAAATGTATTTCATTATTGTCTATAAAACTATCTATGTTTTTGTACTTATGCTTCTTTGTTATGGACTGAATTGCATACCCTCAAATTCATATATTGAAGCCCTAACCCCTAATGTGGTAGTATCTGGAGCTAGGCCCTTTAAGGGGGGTAATCAAGGTTAACTGAAGTCATAAAGGTCGGGCTCTAATCCAATAGGATTGGTGTTCTCATAAGAAGAGGAAGAGATGCTGGGAGTGTACACTCACAGAGGAGGACACAACTATGTGAGGACACAACCAAAGGTGGCTGTCCACAAACCAGGATGAGAGCTCTCACCAGAAACTGACCCTGACAGCATCTTGATCTTAGACTTCCAGCCTCCAGAACTGTGAGAAAATTAATTTCTGTTGTATAACCCATTCAGTTTGTGGTATCTTGCTATGGCAGCCTGAGTAGAGGAATATATTCTTTCACATAATAACAGAGAATTAACTGGGTTCCAGAACCCATACCTATCAAACTTACCTATAATGTAGGATGCAGGATCAAATTGGTCCCTGGGGCTAGATAGAGTGGGGATGAGCCACGTCAGTGCTGCACTCTTCTCACAATACTGGTCCTGGATAAAGCCCCTGATCTGAGCATAGTAGGGCTTTCCATCTTGTTCGTCAATCACAGAAACAACATCTCCAATTTGGTAATAGACTCCCTGGGGGAAGTAGAAAATAATCCCATACTTAAAATAAAAGTAGAACAGCACCACAGCTATGAAACGGAAACTTTCTTAATAGGAAAGCATCAATTTTCAAAGTGGTCAATAAAAGGTCTTCGAGATGGTCCAACACATCCAGATTTATATGGATGATGCCAATTCTAAAGTTCTTTCACTTCTGAAGAAAAAAAGTTTTTATACACACACACAATGACTTGCAACTGGAGGAAACATTTGTTTATAAAAACACATTGATTTTGTATCACAACAGTACTATCCCTACTTTTTTGGCCTGAGCCACTGAGCTATAGAAAGGTCAAGTGACTTCCTTAAAGCCACTTAAAGCAGAGGCTCCTACACCAGTTCAGTGGTCTGTCTCTGTACAATCTTGAAAAGCAGTGCTTTTATCAAAACACCTGTGCCTGTCTCTCCCTCACCATGGACTTCCAGGAGGGCCAATCCCCACGACTGTCCTTCGTCCTCTCACTTCTGTTTAAAGGCATTTTAGGATCTCTGTGCCTACTCTACCCTCTATATCAGTCCATGTCTTCTACTGGTCCAGTTCCCACCTCTGCCTTCTTACCCTTCAGTGCCATCACTGACTAGGATGGCTTGCTGTCCTGACTCCACACCACACATTTGCATTTTAAAAATAATTCCTACAACCTAGATTAAAAATACTTAAGATTCTCATATTGTATTTCAATAGGCAACTTCCCCTCCGACCTCAGCTCTGGATGAGATGTTTTATAATAGCCACCTGTGGGGAAAAATAGCTTATAAGAGAAAAAAAAATGCAACCACATCTAGTACAGAGTAGCAGAGAGAGACCTTTAGACTAACCCAACATTTTAGCAGCACATTTTACAATAGACCCAAATCTTCTTTCAGTAACTATGGATGCTCACCTTATAGAAGATTGATTCTGCAGTGATTATGGTAGAAACTGACTCAGGAGCTTTGATGGGCTATGAAAAAAAAAAAGTAAAAATATTAGCACATTCATTGTGTGTGTGTGTGTGTGTGTGTGTTTGTGTGTGTGTAGCGTGTAAAGGCATTTTTCCAGCCATACATGAGAGTTCCATAATTTCAGAAATACTAAAGGTGCTGTTTGGTGACAAGAACTGCAGTTAAAAAAAAAAGACTTTCTGAATGTTGCGGCAAAGCAAGGTCTATATATCTCTGCTGCCATTTCTGCTATTTTTAGCTTAAAAATTGCTGAGAACCAAAGGAAAAGCTTCTGAATATGTGGCTGAGATCTAACTCAAGCCATCTCAGAGCTTTATTACACAGTAACATTCCAGTTATAAAAATATGCTGGCTCTAATCGCCTGAGCATGACAGAGTTGGAAGTAATAAAAAACATGTCTCCTCAAAGACATTTTCCATCTCAACTTAACTATGGGACTAAGTATAACATTTAATATTATGAGCACTAATTTTCTAGCAAGGCTGAACCAAGGCCAAAAGAAACTCTGTTGGGAGTTCTTAGTTTTGCCACCACCCAACTATCACTGAAATCCCTTCTTAAGCTGTAATGCACACATTTATACCACAGGAACTAGGCCTTCCCAAATATTCCTTGGTATCATTTTTGAAAAAAGATGTTGCTAGAGAAATTGATATTAAAACACTGCAGAAGCACAGTCCACCATCTTAAGAGGAAAATGTGTTTATATACAACTTCAATCAAATATTTACACGTTTTGTCTAGTAAATAAACACCTCATTTTAGAAAAGTAAACTTAAAAAATCTTAAATTAGGAGCAACTGTTCTCAACAAGAAAAGAATCCACAGTCTGCACAAGAATATATACCACAGGCTCTCTTTAAGTGTTTTAAATGAATATGCCCAGCTTTAGAAATGCCTTTACTGGTGAGTGAAGCATTCCTGTTTTGAAGGTAAAGAGTACCAATCCCAGGTTTAAAAAAAAATAGCCTGTAATGCACTGCCCATTGTGTTTGACCATTGTCCCCTGTATTTATAAAAATAATTAGAATTTAATTCAATGAAAATGTGCTTTCAACTACCCCTACACAAGTCTTTCAACTATCCATGTTCTTATAGTAGAAGACACAAAGGAGATTTAGTAAAATTTCTGATTCATATTCATCAAGTTGATCATTGTAAGTAAGTAAACATTTCCTGGGACCATAATAACAAACAAATACGGAAATGAACAAGTTTCAGTATTATTATTTACTTAGATCTTTAAAAATTCCCTAATATTCTTGGCCACACCAAAAACTTCTCATCCTTTGCATAGAGAACCCAATACAATATTTTTTTTAGAATCATATTTTGTATTTCCCAGAAGAAGAAATAAAAGCTAAAAAAAAAAAAAAAAAAAAAGAAGAAGAGAGAGAAAGGGTATTATTAACTTAAACAGTAAGCCTCCTACAATAGAGCTCACTCCCTTTTACAAAGTCTGGATCACTCCCTAGAAGAGCTCCCAAGAGCAGAGTCCAAGTTCAATGGTGAGAGATGAAGGCAGTCCCAGGACACATTACATGCACACAATGCCATTACAATACAAGACACTGTCCACAAACATCTTACATTTTTTAATTTAAAAATATGTCTTCTCCCTTTGCCTTTAGTGGAAACTTTCTTTTCAGCAGCTGGAGCAGATTTGTACTTAGTGTTTCTGAGCCGAGCAGACCTCCTGTGAATTTCCTGCTTACTCTGTAACAAACAATTAAAGAACAAAAAGGAGAAAGAAAGAAAAAGTGTAGAAAGGTTGCTTTTCATCTTAACAAGGATACAACCATCTTAACAACCATCTTAACAAGGATCCCAGAGTATGCACTTTAAATGAACATTTACAGTGAAGTAAGGGAGCGCCTTTTCTTTTTATGCTAGGTAATCAAATGAACTGGGCTAATTAAAGGGAGGCCCTAGGAGAGCATCTCCCCAACCTCCAAAAAGGTGTGACCTACTTTCAATAGGGCAAGGGGCAGGAAAGGGAGTATGTGTAGGCCAAGGAAAGAACTATTCATCAACTATTCATGTTGTGTTTATAACAGAAAAATCCTTAAAAACTCAACACTCCAAGGCCAGAGAACGGGCTAGGTACGCCATCTCCTGCAGTGGAATACTTATGCTATCACTGAATAATAATGAAATAATCTTAATAACATGGCATAATGGCAAAATAAATTTTATTAACAGGGAAAGAGGTCCAGCAGCATGACCGTGTTCACGTTTCTATGTGTATACTGAGATGTCTGCTGCTATCCAAAATATTACAATGGGATTTCTGTACGGTTTTTTTTTTAACTTTCTTGCTTCTTTAGACTTCCAATTTCTCACAAGAAAAGGTGCTTAGAATGCGTCAAACCAATTATGACCTTCTCAATGGGGATGGGAGGGGACGGCCCGGCCCAGTAGGGGACACATCCAACCCTAGGATGCCCCGGCCCGTCCCCTTCCCTCCCGCCCGCCCGACCTCCGCCCGCCTCAAGTCCGGTCGGCCTCCGCCTGCGGGAGGGGCGGGAGGAGCTCACCTGCTTGCCGCTCCCGCCCCCGTTGCTCTGCGGAGGCGCGGCTGAGGTGCTGGCGAAGGTCGCCGCGCCGAAGCCGCCACTGCCGCTGCTGCCCCCCGTCCCGCCGGCCGCCCCCGAGCCGGCGCCTCCGCCGCCCGCGCCGCCCCGGCCCGTGCAGTGGTGGCAGAGGATCTCCCCCTGCGGGCCCTTCTTCCACATGGAGGACGACGTGGTCTTGCAGACGCTGCAGGTGGGCTTCAAGCCCAGTGGCATCGTGGCCGGCTCGGGCGGCCCCCGCGGGCGCAGCGACACGGGAATGGCGACCGCCGGCCCCGGCCGCCAGCTGGCCGGCCTGCCACCCGCAGAGACAGGAAGAGCGGCGCGGCGCGGCGCGGCGCCGAGCTGTCCACGCAGGGACCAGGCCGCGGCCGCTGCCCCCTGGAGGCCGGAAGCCGGTTCCGCCCGCTAGGCTCGCCGCACCAGCCCCGGGCCGCCCCAGGCGCCGCGAGGCGGGGCGCGGCCTGGCCTGGGAGGAGAGCCGAGCCGCCGCCTGAGGCGGCTTCCGGCGATGGGCGGGGCCCGAGTCGCGCTGGCCGGCCCGCCTGACCGGAAGTGCCCCTCCCTGAGTTCCTGGGAGCGCGCGGCGGTTCAGCTTGCAGTCCGCTAGGGTGGCAGCTCGCAAACCTTTTGACCACCACTGAAGTTTGAACTTCAGAGAAGCAAGGAATGATTTTTTAATATGAGCGTATCTCTCGCAATATTCGTTGTTTATCTGGATTCAAATTCAACTGGGCGCCTTGTATTTTCATTTGCTACATCTGGCACTCTTACTTAGGACCCCATTACACTCTCTAAAATTATAATTTAGACCCCCCAGATACTTTTGCTTATATGAGTTATATCCACCGACATTTATGTATTAGGAGTTGACACATATTTTAAAACCTAAGATGCCACGCGTACTGGCAACCAGAACTGGCTGCAGCTCAGTCCCTTGCCTGCATATCGAGGGATTGCTCAACTCAGGGCTGCATGAAGACTTGATCAATTTCCTGGCTTGGCACATATTTATAAGTCAATAAGTGAGGCTTCTCCTCCAAGCAGTAAAGCTATAGTATCACAAAATGCCTGTGCAGATATACTAGAGTGTTAATAGAATAGAGCAGTATGCTGTGAGGATAAATAGGACTACCAGGCAGGGATGGTGACTTGGAGCGGCTAGGGCTGGGAGTCAAGTTGAGAGGTGAGAGAAATGGCTAGGAGAAAAGAAATCAAGATGTCGCTGGCCCAATCCCCTGCTACCTCATGGATACAGGAGCCACAATTGGCCAGGCTGGGGCTCCCTAAGGTGCCAGGGGAAGGATCTCAGATCGACATAAAGAGAGAGAGATACCTAGCTTGGACCCAGGAGAAGTGTTCAGTTGGAGAACATAGAGATAGTTTGGTACCTATGGGGATGTCCGAGAAAATTCTGCTGGTGTGTGTATGTGTGTATATGTGTGTGTGTGTGAGAGAGAGAGAGAGAGAGAGAGAGAGAGAACGAGCTGTGAACACAGAAATAAATACCTCCCAAGGTTTTAACATTCACAAAGAAAGCTGAGTTCCCCAGGGGATTATCACTGTTAGCATGCAGTCTAATTTGCATGATTTAGGTGCTGCATGGTTCATTAAAACTCTTTTTTAAAAAAGAAGATGCATAAAACATATTACAGGGCTTGTTTCAAAGTTGAGATTCACCACATTTTGGGACTTGGTGCGCATGGGCAGCGTAGGGCTCCTTGCTGACGCGCACCCTTGTCCTGTATATCTCAGGGGCACTTGGCTACTGAGTCTTCTTTTGTCTGCCTGTCAAATGAGGGTAATGAGAGAGAGAGAGAGAGCATACCTCACTGGGTGATTTGAGGATTCAATGAGCTAGTATATGAGAGGTTTTAAACAACTTTTACATCTGGGAAGTGCCTGATTCAGTGTCAACTCTGAGGCTGGTAAGACAGGAGGAGGCATTTTTTTTGACCAGGCTGGTCAAGTCATTAGCCAGTCATTCACCCCCTCTCCCCCGACATGTAAACTTGGAAAAAGTGTAATTAACTCAAGATGCCTGTTAACATTGACCAACCAAAGAGAGAGATTGTGGACTGGACAGAGAGAGAGAGGAGTGAGACCTATGGAACTGCAGGAAAGGAGAAAGAGCCAGGGCAGATGTTCTTGCTGAACGTTTCATCTTTCATCCAGGATGGGCATCATGACAGCACCAACTCCTGCTGCAGTCATACCTTTTGTGTGATAACCCCACAGAATTACTTTCTGTTTTGCATGTGTACCCCATGTTTCCCACCCCATGCCTTGGCTCAGGGTGTTCTCTTTGCCTGGAAGATGCTTCTCAGACATCACACCCAACCCTACCCACCTTCTCAGAATCAGCTCAGGCATCATTTCCTCCAGGAAGCCTCACACCAGAGGTCACATGTTCTTTCTCCACCCAGCCAGCCAAACACTGTTCCTTGTTTTGACTCTTCCCTCCTTCTCCCTTAGGGTAAACCTTGTACCTGTGTCTCCTCCACTGGACTAGGAACATGTTGAGGAAAGTTTGCTTTTTCCTCCTTGGGTTTCTTCTACCTCCCCGTGCCTTGCACTCAGTAGGCACGCACTAACTAGCAGTCTAACGAGTGGGTTAATACATCAATCATCCTTTCTCAGATGAATGAACAGTGTGCATTCAGGACAAGTGTCTGCTCCCGTTCCCTTCCTCGCTGCCCACCACCTCGCCATCTGACTTCCCTCACCAAGCAGCCTCAATCAGGTCTCCCCGGCTCCTCACTGGCCTGCATCTCCCTGTACCATGGCAGGGGCACTGACATCGTCATCATGCACCAGAAAAACCAACACCTGCTTGATCATAAACAAGTCGTACTTATCTGAAATAACTGTGCAGGATCCCTGGTGGAGTCTCACAAGCGTCTTCCTTCTGTTTGGGAGAAGATGATGATGACATGGTGAGGAGGGCACCACTTCCTCTGGAAGGCTTTTGCTAAGGCTTCAGGACTCCCTGACATACAATTGGTTTGGAGATGCAGGCACAGGCTTCCTGAGACTCAGCAAAAAGTGCCTCGGCTGTGACCGAATATTATGAGGCTCAGCAGATGGTCTTGACTCAGAACCCCCCTCCTAGGCAGTGGGGTCCCTGGCCCGTCCCGTCTTCCAACTGCCACTCCCCTAACTGTCGCTCAGAACTTCGCTACTTAAGACCCTAGTCTGTGCCTGCCTAGCCTTCAGAGACTGCTGGCACTGGAGCCAAGAAAGCTTCTGAGGAACAGGTGAAAGGCTTATTTTGTGAGTCAGGCATCTACCAACTATAGTTTCATAAGGAAAACTCAGTTGTCTTTGATTTTTGTTTGTTTGGTTTGGGTTTTGAGTGCTTTAAAAATGTTGCTGCCTCTCCCTCTTCTGATTTGCAGGACGTCTAGGGAAGAAATCAACTTGGTTGTTGGAGCATCTTTTCATCCTTCTCAGCTGACTGTGAAGTTAGCTTTCCTTAGAAGAGTTCCAGACTTTACCAAAAAAGAGAAATATTTCCTTTTCCCTTCAAAATGTAAGTATCTATTATAAAAATTCAGAGTGTATTCCTAAACTCTGCTACGTTAGCGATAACCCATTCCTCTGAGGTTGAATAATTAGCCTGTTTTAAATTTTTTGCAGTTACAACAATGAATGACGTAATGAACTTCTTTATACATGTATGGTTGCCTATTTGTGTGGATATTTTTATCACATAAATTCCTAAAATTGTAATTGTTGGGTCTCAAGTAATGCACATTGTGAATTTTGATAGATGCTGCCAAATTACTTACCCAAAAACCTTTACACACTTGCCAACTCCCCTGAAGTTATCTCAGGGCAGATTTAGCCGCTGGGCACAGAAGGCATGTTGCCTAGGGCCCACAATAGTTTTAGGGGTCATGAAAAAATTTTAATTTCTCTCTTTTAAAAAAAATTATTTTATTTATTTTGTGGGTTTTTTTGGGGGGGGTATTTAGGTTTATTTATTGACTTTAATGGAGGTACTGGGGATTGAACCCAGGACCTCCTGTGTGCTAAGCACACGTTCTACCTCTGAGCTATACCTCCCAATTTCTTTTAAAATCAGGGGGACAAAATGAATATAATAATAATGAATACATAATATACAGTGAATCTAGCCTGGATTATATTTTTTATACCAATGAAACCATAAAACATACTTTTTCATATTGTTTTTATGGAGGTGGGACCCATGAAAGCAAATGTGTGCAGGGTCCCTACAAGTCATAATGTGGCCCTGGCTTATCTGTATCTCCACAACATTGAATCTCTGGGAATTCTCTTCTTAGTTTCTCCTTTTAGTTTTTGCCAGTCTTTTATGCAAAAGAAAAAAAAAGACATTTCACAATTGTTTTTCTTTGTACTTCTTTGGTTATTTGTGAGGTATCGTCCTGAGCTTACTGACCATTTAAATTTCCTTTATCAATTGCCTGTTTATGTTCTTTTCTCATCCTTCTATTGAGTTGCCCATCTTTTCCTTTGTTGAAAAGGTCTTTTTACAGTATAGCAAATATTGCAAATTTTATTTTCAGATTTTTGCATTTAAGATTTATTGGCATCTTTTTCTGATGATATTTAAAGTGTTCCATACCCCAAATTTGTCCAGCATTTCTTTTATGGTATCATTCTTACAAAGGCTTAACACAAATGTTCATTGATATTTCCTTCTATAGCTATTAATATTTATGATAATATCTTTAATTAATCTGCAATCCATTTTTTTTGTAAAAGAGGTGAAATAGCTATTAAACTTTGTTTTCCAAGCAGAGCAAATTGTTCCAATACTATGGGACAATAATTTGAAATGCCACCTTTATCAAATATTAAATTCTTATATATATGAGTCTAATTCTTGAATCTCTTCCACTCCATTGATCTTTTGCCCTGCCAGCAGCACATTTTTAATTGTATAGCTTATTATATTTTGATTTCTGATGAAGTAAATCACTACCCCTGCTCCTCCCCATAATATTTCCCTTTCAATTTTTTTTCTTGATTATTCTCACGCATTTACTCTTTCCAATGGGCTTTTGAGTTACATTTTCAAGTACTGGGAAACAAATTTTCAATAAGTTTGGTAAAATTTAGAGATTAATTTGAGGAGAACGGAGCCTGCCTCTCCAGGGGCGTAGCATTTTGTTCAGACTTTGTTCAGATGCCCTCCCCGGTTGGTCTGTTTTACCAAGCCCTTGCCGGCTCAGCAGTCCCCTCCAACTCCTCCATGGCTCTCTTTGTGGGACAGGAAGCCAGCAGCAGGGGCTTGCCTGAGTCTTCATGTCCCCAAGGAGTTAATGGGGGCCTTTTCCTTTGCCATTTTCAGTCTATTTGGGACTGGTTTTCTAAGAAATGTGCTCTGCTGCAAAGCACTGTGGTCAAGCCCACCATGATCTCTTACCTGGATTTTTAGTCTCCTTGCTCCCACCTTTGCTGACTCCGGCCCATTCTCCACACTGTGCCTCCTGTAATCTTTCTAGTCCAATCTCTGTGGCCCCCTGTTGGAAAACCGTCAGTGATTCCCCATTGCATTAATGACTCATTGCTGCTGTAACAAATTACTATTAACTGAACACCTTAAGACAACACAAATTTATTATCCTACACTTCTGGAAGTCAGAAGTCCAAAATCAGTTTCACTGGGCTAAAATCAAGGTGTCAGCAGGGCTGCCTTCCTTTCTGGAGGCTCTAGGGAAAAATACATTTCCTTGTTTTTTGCAGCTTCTAGAAGCCTCCTGCATTTCTTGGCTCACCACCCCTCCCTGTACCTTGAAAGACAGCCGCTGTATCACTCTGACCTATGCTTCTCTTGTCATCTCTCCTTCTCTGATTCTAATCCTCCTGCCTCTTATAAGTATGGTCCTAAGGACCCTTGTGATTTGATTGGGCCCACCCAGATAGTCCAGGATCATAGTCCCACCTCAAAGTTCTTACCTTAATCACATCTGCAACATTCCTTTTGCCATACGAGGTACCATGTTCACAGGTTCAGGGATTAGGATGTGGGCATGTTGGAGGGACCACTATTCTGCCTGCCACAGCCATGGCCGTCAGGATGAACTTGGCTTGCCAGCCTCTCAGTGGTCTGCCCCCGTTACTCCCCTGTCTCATCTCACTCTGCTCTCCCCTTCGAACTCCCTACTCCAGCCACATGAATTTCCTATAGTTTCTGGAACCTGCCCCCTCTCTGCTTCCTTCAGCCCTGGTCCAGGCTCTTTCCTCTGCCTGAGAAAACCTTTCCCTGCCTCTTCCCCTGACTGACTCCTTCTCATTTTCCAGCCTTGGCTTAAACCTCACTTTCTCTGGAAGCTTTTGACAACCCCTTTCCTCCCTGTATCTTCTTTCAGGCTTTGTTAGGATGTCTCACAACATCCTCCATTGTTCCTGGCCCTGCTTATGGTGTCTTTTACTTTTGCTTTTATTTCTATTGCCTTGGGAGACTGACGTAGGAAAACATTTATATTCCTGTTTATATTATTGCTTGTTTGATTACCTTCCCTCCCAAAATGTAAGTTCTTTGAGGGCAAAGGTGCCTAGGGCAGCTCCACAAAAGAGGGAGCTTATTAAATCCTGGCTGAGTCAGTCTATTAACATACTGATTTAATAACAGAATGCAAGAGATTTTACTCTATAGACCTCACATTAAAAGTGTTTGTTCATTATTCATTCAACAAATATTTACTGAGCACTGACTTGGCTCAATACTGAGCCAAAGGAGTTAAAATTAAGGGAAAAAAATAATCTAATGTTATGAGGATGCTAAGGTTGTAGTGGTACGATCACAAGGACCTGAATAACAATTCTCCCGCCTCCAGGAAACTGGACTTGGAGGTCAGTGAACCAATAGACTTCAGTGCTGGAGATCATCAACATCTGGTTCAGAAAGCAGCAGACAGTCACACCCAGAGCAAATCTGGTCAGTCCTATACAGCTTCACCTTCACCTGGGTCACGAGAAGCCGGTGGGAATCCACACTCAAAGGCCAAAGAGCGAGAGGATACCTATGTGGTACAAATATCGGAAGAGACCACCCCAGAACACAGCGATCCTTTACCCAGCCCTTTCTCAGAAGCAGCTGTCCGCAGAGGTGAGAAGAAAGAAATAATCTTTTTGGAAGAGAAAAGCAAATATTCTCTTAAAATATTTCCACAGAGGGGACTGTAGGATTTAATTTTGCTTTAGTTTCCCCCCTCCCCATGCTTCACCATGAAACTTGACGTAGGGCTGCAATAACAGATGGGCCCTGATTTGTCCAGGGCATTCATAAATTCATAATGCACCTAATACGGTGAGTAACTTGTGGTTTTCTTAGGAAATAGGAATTAGTCATTGAATGCAGAATGTTCTTACTTACACACAGAGTGTTAAACACAGAGTGTTAAAGTGCTTAAGTTTTAAAGAATATTAATTCAGAGCTCCACATATCAATTCTGTATAGGAAATACATTTAGCAGTGAATAACAGAAGCCTAAAAAACCGTGGCTTAAATAAATGAGAATTTTTTTTTCTTTCATGAAATATGAAGTTGGAAGGTAGGCAATACTAGGCAAATACTGTTTGTCCCCAGTGACCATTCTGCCACCCTTCGGCCTTCTTAGGACCTGGACAACTTGAAGGTGGACTATGAGCTTTGAATCTCATTGCTGCCTTCCTGTGGCCGTCACGCTCCCTCTAGTGGCTGGAAAGATGCTGTCAGGAGCTCTTAGCTGGCGGCTGACGCTGCAGTGGCCATGAGGACTCCCTGACATGGCTGGCAGTTCCTGTTGGTTGTTGACTTTCCTCTTGTGTCTTGAGCTTCTCATCACATGGAGCTGGGTCCCAGGAAGAAGCGTTATCAGGTGGACAAGCCCCAGTGTGTAAGCAGTTTATCAAGCCTCTGCTTGCCTCACACATACTAATGTCTCTCACTGGCCAACACAGTTTGCACAGCCAAGACCTGCACCAAGGTGGGAGGGCACTACATGTGCTTTGCCTATTTTAAATTCTTATTTGTCTTCTTGTTATTGGATTGTAAGGGTTCTTTATGTATTAGGTCCCTTTTCAGACACATGATATGCAAATATTTTCTCCCAGTTCGTGGGCTTTCTTTCACTTTCCTAATGGTGTCATTAGAAGCACAAAGCTTTTACTTTTGACAGAATCCAACTTTTTTTTCTTTGCTTGCATTTTAGGTGTCATATATGAAAAAAATCATTGCCTAATCCATGCTCACCAAGATTGATACCTAAGCTTTCTTCTAAGAATTGTATTTCTTATGTTTATGTCCATGGTCTCTTTTTAACTAATTAATTAATTTTTTATGTATGTATGATATGAGGAAGGGGTCCAAATTCATCCTTTTGTAGGTGGATGTCCAGTTGTCCCAGCACAATTTGTTGAAAAGACTCTTCTTTCTCCATTCAATTGTTCTAGTACACTTGTTAAAAATCAATTGACCACAAATGTAAGGGGTTATTTTTGGACTCTTAATTCCATTTCTTTGATCTATATGCCTAGTCTTATAAGGCTGGGCCACATTTAATATTTATTTAATTTTTAGTCCCTGATACATAGTAGATGTGAATTTAATGTTAACTAAGTGGGTATTTTAGTGTAGGCAACATACCTTTTGATATATATGTTCTGGCATTTTGATGAAGATAGTCCCATACCTTTGTTGTCACACTTCCAATGCACAAAAACCGCCCAGCAAAAGGACACAGTTGACAATGCTGTAAATCAACTTTAAGCAACTTCCTTCCTTCCTCCTGTCTTCCTTTCTTTCTTTCCTCCCTTTTAAAATTGGGATAGGGCCACAAAGAAGTAAATTGTCATCACCAGCGCCATATTGAGAGGGCTCTGGACACACCTGGGTAGTCAGGTGGAAGTAGGCAAACAGAGATGCCAACACAGTCTGCACTTGGCTTTGGCATGCCGTTCACTTGAAACTCCTTGGTTGTGCTTACAAGGCCTCAGGTTATCTAGTTTCTGCATAAGTAGGAGGGAAAGGAGTGGCTAAAGGCAGGTAGGCTGGAGAGAAAAGCAGTGAAGAAGCTCTGCATGCTCCCTGCAGCCCAAGTCCCTCTGCACCAGTCCCTGGGGCAATGCTGGGCTCCATCTACAAAGCGGGGTAGCTGGATTCCTAACGATGGGCCTGCCACATTCTGAGACTTTCAGATCACTTTTGGTCCTAAGGAGAATTGGGGGTGCATAGGACAGAAGTAAACCCCTGAGTTTATCTTTGAAATTTTGAAACTTTCACGGAGAAACCTTCAGATGTCCAATAAAACACCTCTAACAATCTGGACTGAGAATTTTCAAGAGTTCTGCAGAGCTGTATTATTGTCACCCCACTGGCTGGCTCTAAACTAGCACTCCCTTCTCCCTCCTCAAAAAAGGCAGAGGAAACGTTTCTTTCATTAAGCATCAAAAAGAGGTAATTCCATTTATATTTTTTCTTTGAATGTTGCTTCATAAAAATAATATTTCTGTCTCCTCAGCTTTCATTGTAAAAGTGTTCCTCCTCCTGTCAGTGCAGTTGCTGGTGACTGGGGCAATCATCAGCATGTTTATTTTCTGGTGAGTCTTCATTACTGATGTAAGTTAAATATTAAATTGTCCACGTTAGTTCTCACTTATTTAATTTTGATCATTAAAATATTATCTATTTTTCCTTAATCATTCATAGGACATAACATTTCTATAGCTTTGTTTTTCTCAGGCAACTCTTAGACCAAGGTATTGGTAACATTTCTAGAGTTTAACTTCCTAAGCCAAGAACTTTTTTCCTTACTCTTATTTTGAGCACTATTTTCTTTTTTTGTTTTTCCCAAGCTGTTTCCACAGATAAAACTGGATAATGGGGAAAAGGTGAGATTATGGAGGGCTTGGAGGCTGGAACACTGTTAAATGCAGAAATTATTTCAAGGACTAGGGTCTATCACGGCTTAAACCCATTCTTTGAAACTCTGTATCTACAAACAAATACGTGAGAATGTCATTACTTTTGCTTTGTATACATTTCAATCTCTATTTTTTTTAATAAAAACTTTTACTAGGACATTTGCATTTATCCTAATTTGACCTGCAACTTATGACTGTACTTTTTAAAGTACTATTTTAAGCACCAAGATACTATTATATATTTCCCTGTTTCATTTTCCATCTGTCTTTATCAGCTGTTTAGGGTTTCCCCCCTTTCTTCTCATGAGATTAACTTCTCCTTAGATATTATGCTAATTAGCAAAATAAACTACTTATTGTGTAAATTTTTATTAATTATTTTTTAACCAGTCAGGCTTTAAGAAATTGGGTGATCAAGAATGCCTGGTTCACTTATGCACTTTTGTAAGTATTATTGGATTAAGTTTAAAGTGTTGTTGTTTTTTTTTACTTAGCTATGGATTGATATTCTTTATTAAAATTAGGTGAAAGTATAACATTATTGAAATGACAAAATTATAGAGCTGGAAAACAAGCAAATGAGTTGCCAGGAGTTAGGGTTTTGTGTGTGTGTGTGTGTGTTACCATAAAGGGGTGGCATGACATTTTAATGATGAGACAGTTACACATTTTGATTATGGAGCCAGTTACACGGCCCTACACACAGATCCGTGTTGGCGCAGTGCTCTGATGCAGCATTACACATTCACCAGCTGCACCAGTGTCACATTCCTCGTAAATATGTAAAATGAGGGGAGTGCTGAGTAAAGGGTACAGGACCTCTGTTCCTTTGCAATTTCCTGTGAATCTACAATTATTTCAAAATAAAAAAGTTGAAAAAAGAACTCACAAGCTATCTGTGGATGACAATGAGGAAAGTTAGTTTTAAAAGCCAAAAAAAAGAGGTAAAGGTAATAATCTACATTTTTGTGTACTTTATAATAATCATTATAAGATAATACATCTATCTATCTATCTATCTATCTATCTACCTACCTACCTACCTATATCATATGATCTAATCACTGGAAGCAAATAACATATGGCTTTAAATTATCCCCAGGCCAGTATTTTTTGTTGTATTTTTTGTACTTGCTTGCTGTGGGAAACTCCGCCGTCAGGTGCCTGCGAATTACATTCTCCTGGGATTATTTGTAAGTAAACCTTGTTAGCAGCTGTTGTCACCTCTGAAATATATTTTCATCAGATTGCTAAATTCATTTCTTTTATTGTGTAAAATCTTCCTGTGGAATAATACAGATAGAAATTATTTGTGAGACATTCTCTTGGTTGAATTCTGAATTCATAAACTTACTTATGAGATGGAATCCACAATCCACACCCTTTTAGTAAGCTAGAGAATTCAGGGACCCTGGGCTCCTCCTCTGTGCCAGCAGTCTTGCCTCTGAGGGGACACACACACAGACACACACACGGGGGTTTCCACTTCTGAGTCTTGGCTGCATTTCAGGAGCAGTTAACCTCACTGCCACTGCATCTCTTGTCAGACACAATAAACACATTTTGTTACGGAGAACAGGTTCCACATTTAGTTCACAAATTTGTGTGCAAGAAATTAATTTTTAAAAATTTTTGTGAAATGTATTTTATTTCTATTTCAAGTCTCCTGACGCTATTTTAATTGAGGTTTCTGTTTATTAATGTTTACACCAGTCCTGCCAAACCTCTCACCTCCTGGAGGCAGTGGACTTTCTGAAACTCACTGATAATAAGCATTTGCTCCTCTTGGGAAAATCCAGGACGGCCATAGTGTGACTCAGTGCATTGGCGGATGATTCTTTCTGGGGGAGTTTGTGTTTGCTCCCACGAATTGCTGACCATCCTTCCCTGTGAAGATTTACTTAACAATTGATTTATTCCTCACCTGATTCCATATCAAAGTTGAGGTAACTGATAAAAAATAACCACAATATAAGGATATAGGATAAATTAGTGGGGAAATCTGGTAGAAGGAAAAATAAGCATAGGAAAATAAAGCCAGAGGCGAGATTAGCGCACAAAATGCACAGTCCTGTGCACTTGAGTGTGATGAACCTAGATTTGGATCTGCGCCTCCTGGTGGTCAGAGCAAGCAAGGACACATGGCCAAGGATGACAGTCTAAGCATCCCTACCAGGCAGGGGCCAGTGTGATTTGTATGTTGGGAAGAATAGCTTTCTTCTGACGCTGGAGAAGACTGGTTCTCTGATGCCCACATTTGGGCATTTCTTCAGCTGCCAGAGCATTAAGGGACCTTTCTTAGCTGGTGTGGATACCCTGCTTATTGCCCAGGTAAACAAGGGGAGTCTCCCAGTTCCTACACTTAAAGTATGGACCACAGTCAGGAGGGGTGGGTGCTAAAAACCAGACAGAGAAAGAAAGATACTTGGAGTCCTGGGGCAGAGACAATGGGATGGGAAGAGGTATTTTTCTAGAGATCTTTGTATTTTTTCAGAAATTTTTGTATTTTTTGTTTTAAAATTTCAGAGGTTTTAATGTTTAAATAAGAAGAGATCAAAGTTATTGTTATTATCAAAGAAAGCTCTCATCTCTGAGGTTTTGTTGTTTATCTCTAAGCAGATAACAGCTTAAGGGAAAAATTATAAAAGGCAAGATTGGAAGCAAGCATGTTATTAAAATATCATGTGTACGTGGAATAAGTGCACTTTTTTTTTTCTTAATGGAAATAAAGACAGCTTACTTTGGCGTGTTGAACAAAGCAGAGAATCAGGCAATTACCTATCGGGTTTGGGAAATCCAGAGAGGGAATCTGAGACTCCCAGGACTCCAGTTCTTTTCCAGTCTCCATCCTGGACATGGCTGGCCAGCTGCAGAAGTTCAAAGCTGCTCTGCAGTTGCACTGTAGATAGGCTGTGTCCTCAGTTTTACTTCTGGAGACTAGAAGTTTCCTTCCTGGCTCTTGCCATGGACCAGAGGGTTAGTGAGTCTCTGCATTTGCCTCTGACAGAGCATCCTGAGGAATGTCCTTAGGCCCTGCAGCTGCTGCTGATTGTAGTTCTCACTGGCCTTTTGGCTGCCCTGGAGACTGACTGTGGGCCTGGACACATCCTCATTGCCTTTTTAGTAATCCTTTGGCTTGACTGCCTTCTGGTGCTCAGCCCTTGCCTCTCTCCCATACTGCTCCATGCCTGGCTCCATTTAGACCATGGGAACCCTCCAGCCCCAGTGCAGTCCCCATACAGCCCCAGTGCAGCCCTCCTCTGAGCCCTGGATTGACAACTACCTGTGCAGCTCTATGCTCTGTAGGTAAGTGCCCTCCAGCCCCATCCCTTGGTACTAAGATCTCAAATCCTCATCCCACGTCTGAGATTTGAAGTATTTTATTCTCACCTAAGCACTATGGGAAAGGTGAGTACTGAAACTCTTGGTGATGCATTAGTAGGGATAGCATATTCTGCTCTGATATAATGTTAAGATTCTGTGTGGATGGCTTTATTTGATTAATGACAATATGGTCTACAGATAAACATTTTACCTTGGTTTCCACATTTCTAGTGAATACATATTTAACTCACTAAATATGTTGAAAGTTACTATTGTGTTCTAAGAAATTTTTAGTCATAAAAGAATTTTTTCTTGTCAGTCTTAGGGAGAATGTTAAGGAAATGTTTAGTTCCACTCTTTGCTTCCCATATTCAATAGCCTGTAGCTTGTGTGTGCTAGGATTATGCATATTCCTGCTAGCTCCCCAGACCCTAGGAAAACGCACACATCTCACATCACCTCCTCTGGATCCTGGCCCTTGAGAATCAGCCTTCTAATTTATCGTGAATTTTGTTTTTAGACAATTCTTCAAGGTCTGATGCTAGGAACCGTGTCAGTGTAAGTCTTTGATACACATTTTTGTGTGTGTGTGCTTTTCCTTGAATATTATGTGAGCAATAACCACTGTCTCTGGCTTTAGTTTCTATAATGCTGAGGAAGTGTTATGGGCGACGGGAACAACTGCTCTGGTGACATTATCGCTCACTTTATTTGCTCTTCAGACAAAAGTACGTATTACTGAAGCAGATTCCTGTCCTAAGGGAGTGTGTGAATATGTTCCTTTGCCCCTCCTGACCCATTCTGCTCCCTCCTCCCTCCTGCTCTCTGCTTTGGTTGGGGGAACCTCACCTCTGCGCAGTCCTCACCATCTGGCTTCTGGCTTTCCTAGTAACCACGTTAAAAAAAAAAAGGAAACAGGTGAAATTAATTTTAATAATGTACTTTATTTAACCCAATATATGTGAAGTGTTATTTCAACATGTAATCAGTATAACAAAAATATTAATGAGGTATTTTACATTCTTTTTTCCGAACTCAAATCCAGTGTGTATTTTATACTTGTAGCACATTTTGGTGCAGACTAGCTGCATTTCCAGTGCTCAGTAGCCATGTGTACTGAAAGCACAGTTCTAGTCAAACTCTCTTAGCAAGCATGAGAGTCACCTGGAGAGCTTGTAAAATGCAGATTGCTGAGCTCCACTCCTGGAGTTGCTGCTTCAGAACGTCTGGGGTGGGGCCCAACAATGTACGTTTTTCAGGCGCTGCTAATGCTTCTGGCCTGAGAAACAAACTTGGTGACCTGGTACTTTGGTTTCTTCTCTTTAAGGGTAGGGAGCAAGGGGGGAAATAGACCAATCAGGAAAACACCCTTGCAAGAAAATATCCTGAATTTGAGGATCTTCTTTTGCTTCCTAATCTGATTTTTTTTCAGGCCAAAAGATGAATATTTCCCTTTCTCTAGAAAATTCTAATCTCCCCGAGGCTGATTTGGTTACTGATTTACAGAAGCAAAACCAAAAAGCATATTAACAAATTTTAAGATTAAAAAAGAATTAACAGTAATTTTTGAAAGCTTAATGTATATATATATATTTGAAGTATTTTATTCTCACATATATATATATGTGTGTGTGTGTGTTTTATTAAAATATATACATACAAATGTGAAAAAGGTACCCAGTTAACATCGTGGTCTATTTAATTCCATTAATGTATTCTATGCAAATGTTTTAAGAATATGAATAATTATGATCATACTATACATACAAATTTACATCCTACTTATTCAATGTACCTTTCTTATTAGGGAAAATCTCATACAAATACAAACAATAGAATACTTTAATGAACTCCCATGTGCCCATTACCTAGTTTCAAAAATTATGAGTTTGTAGCTCCTGTTATTTCATCCATATCCTACTTTTTTCTCCCTCCTGAGGCAATGCAACACTTTATGTAGCATTTTTCAGTGCTTGGGACTAACGGATTTCCATGGTTCTCTAAACTAGGCAGAGTGAATTATTAGCAAATAGGCCAGTTCCTGTCTATGGGGTACATGATGCACCTGTAAACGTCTTGAAGTTCCTTACGGATGATAATCGGGTTGTTTTCTGTTGTTCAATGTCTCCTCAGTGGGATTTCACCTTGCTAAATGGAATGCTGTTTGCTTTACTCTTCGTGCTTGTAATCTACGGAATTCTTTTAATCTTCATACGATCATATGTAAGTGGGGTCTCCTTTGCAAATCTCAGAGAACTGTTAGAAACATAGGCTGTCGTGCCAATTGTGTTAGTCTGGATCCTCTCTCCACCCCACATGGCACCGTTCAGGGACGGAGTCTGGAGCAAATGTGGAGAGGCAGGAGCATAGGGTCTGGCCCCGTGGTCTGGCTGTGAGTGGCCCTTGAGTGGAGACCCTGTTGGAGGGTGGGTCCATTGAGGACTGGCCTGGGGCTTGTGACCATTTGACTAGAGCCTCAGGGCCAACTTGGTCCTACTGCTGAATCAAAGAGTTACTGTGGCAACAAGTGGACTTGCCATGGTCTTCAGACATAAAACCAACACCTCTGCCTGGATTGGTTTAGTTTCATGAACAACTACGTAAGGCTTACATAACTGAGGAGGTAACATCTATATTTTAGAGATAAACTCAATGACATCACAAAGACATGTCTTAAAAGGCCACAGCTTCCCGCTTGTTATTACTGACAGTAGCAGGTGGTGCTGTATCTATTGGGTGGGTTCCGTGGGTCTTTGCCATACCACTTAGGAGCAGTTAAGAAACTATGTTTCCTACTAGATATATGAATCCTAGCTCCCAGTCTAAACTCCCTTTCACAAATAATCAACAATATATAATCTTTAAATGGAAGACTGACAGAACCTTGTCCTAAGTAGGCATGCTATGAGACTCTGGCAATTTGGAATTCTTCAGACTCCAATTGTCAGCTGTCTTCTCACTCCTGGCTCAGTCCGGGAATACTGCATCCCACACTGTGTCACTGCCCTCTGAGTTCCCTCCCCCCAAATCCTCCCCTGGCTAGCAGAGTTCTCCCCACCCCTCTATGACCAGCTCGCATCCTGAAGAGTGAAGGCCATTCATTATTCTTCTCAGATATTATACACCACTTCCTTATCCTCTTCCTGTATACAGCCAAACACTCTGGCATTTAGACCAATTTGTTGCATATTATGATCAGTGCTCTTTGGGTTGCAAGAAACACATACGACTCAGACTAGCTCAAGGCAAAGACCCAGAGACTCTCATGGAACTCCTGGGTGGGAAGAAGAGCCAGAATTCACAGGCATGGAAATGCCACCTCCCTTTCTTGAACTCAGTGGATTGGCCATCTCTGCTTGTGAAGGAATAGCTCCAGCACTAGCTAAGGGTGCAACTGCTGCCTGGATCCCTCTGTCCTGGGAACTGACTTCTGACTGGCCTCATGCATCTGTTTGATCCTGGTTATATGTAAGAGGCTCCTCATCCATTGAGAGATTTGCTTCTGTTGGAGTGGTGTCTTCCACCAGTCATCAGTCAGCTCTAGCAAGGGTGTGTGAGGGTCACGGTGTTCCCAGAGCTGAAGGGAGGGCAGATTCTCGAGAAGAGCCACGTGGATGGGGCAAAAAGGGAAACGTACCTAGTACCTTCCACTTGCCCTTCCATGCATGAGATGTTTAGCACTTACTTGATGAACCTTGTTTGACGTATGTAAGGCTAGTTTTCACTTGCTTGCTGAATGGAATTGAGTGGATGCTGTTGACTGACTATGTTCAAGAAAGGATTAATTACCCCAATAGCTTTGATTTTCTTCATATTAAGTCCTTGTCTGACAGCAATGACCTAAGTGACCCCTTGCATTGTTCCAAATATTGATCTTAATGTGCAATTGTTTCTTTTCGCAGTGGTTGCATCTATTGTATGCTGGACTTGGAACTGTGGTCTTCTCACTGGTAAGTCCATTTCTCCCTCTCTTTGCCAGAGTATGGAATGTGTACTGATGGGGCCTTAAGCCCTTCTGCTAGGCCGGGAATCAAGTGGAGTCAGTAATTCACTGGAAAGCCCTCCAGGCAACTTGCTCCTTCGTCTCTTTTTTCTTCCTCCTCCTCTTCCTTCTTTTTATTTTTTATAATGACAATTCTTTTTAAAGCAGTTTTTGGTTCACAGTAAAACTGAAAGGAAGGTACAGATACTCCATATACTCCAGCCTCGTACATGCATGGCTTCCCTCATTATCAATATCCCCCACCAAAGTGGTGTATTTATTACAATTGATTAACCTACACTGGACACATCATAATAACCAGAAGTCCAAAATTTACATTCGTGTTCGCTCTTGGTGTTATACATTCTATGGGTTTGGACAAATGTAGAATGATATATATATCCAGCGTTGTAATATCATACAGAGTATTTTCACTGCTCTAAAAATCCTCTGTACTCTGTTGTTCCCACCCCTGCCAACCACTGATCTTTTTACGGTTTCCAAGTTTTGCCTTTTCCAGAATGTCATAGAGTTGAAATCATACAGTTTGTAGGCTTTTCAGATTAGCTTCTTTTACTTAGTATGTACACTTAAGATTCCTCCATGTCTTTTCAACGCTTGATAGCTAATTTTTAGCACTGAATAATATTCCATCGTCTGGATGTACCACAGTTAATTTATTCATTCACCTGCTGAGGGGCATCTTGTTTGCTCTCACGTTTTTGCAATAATGAATAAAGCTGCTATACACATCCATGTGCAGGTTTTTGTGTGGACATGAGATTCAGCTAGATACTAAGGAGCATGATCACCGGATCATATGGTAAGAGTATGTTTAGTTTTGTAAGAAACTGCCAGATTGTATTCCAAAATGCTTGTAACATTCTGCACTCCCACTAGCAATGTATGAGAATTTCCGTTGCTCCACGTCCTCACCAGCATTTGGTGGTGTCAATGTTCCAGATCTTGGCTATTCTAATAGGTGTGTAGTGGTATTTTATTGTTATTTTAATTTGCATTTCCCTGATGACATATGATGTACAGCATCTTTTCATATGCTTACTTGCCATCTGTATATCTTCTTTGGTGAGGTGTCTGTTAAGTTCTTTGGCCCATTTTGTAATCAAGTTGTTAGTTTTCTTATTGTTGAGTTTTAAGAGTTCCTTGTATATATAGGATAACAGTCCTTCATCAGATGTGTCTTTTGCAAATATGTCCTCCCAGTCTGTGGTTTGTATTCTCATTCTCTTCACATGGTCTTTCACAGAGCAGAACATTTTAATAAAGTCCAGCTTATCCAGTCTTTCTCTCATGGATTGTATTTTTGGTGTCCTATCTGAAAGATCATCACCATACCCAAGGTCATCTAAGTTTTCTCCTGTGCTATTTTCTAGGAGTTTTATGTTTTACATTTAAGTCTATGATTCATTATGAGTCACTTTTGTAAATGGTGTAAGGTCTGTGTCTAGAGTCACTTTTTTGGCACGCAGATGTCTAGCTGCTTGAGTATCATTTGTTGAAGAGGCTATCTGTGCTCTACTGTAATGCCTTTGCTCTTTTGTCAAAGACCAGTTGGCTATATTTATGTGGGTCTCTTTCTAGGTTCTCTAATCTGTTCTGCTGCTCTACTTGTTTAGTCCTTTCAGCAATAGCAAACTATCTTGATTACTGTAGCTTTATAGTAAGTCTTGTGGTTGGGTAGCATCAGTCCTTCAACTTTGTTCTTCTCCTTTAGTATTGTATTGGCTATTCGGGGTCTTTTGCCTCTCCACATAAACTGTCAATATCCACAAAAGAACTTGCTAGCATTCTGATTGGGCTTATATTGAATCTGTAGATTAAGTTGGGAAGAACTGACATTTTGGCAATACTGAGACTTCGTATCCATAAACATGGAATGTCTCTCCATTTATTTAGTTCTTCCTTGATCTCATTCATCAGAGCTTTCTAGTTTTCTTCATATAGTTCTTGTACGTATATTAGATTTATATGTAAGTATTTAATATTTTCGATGCTAATATAAATGATATAGTGTTTTTAATTTCCAATTTCATTTATTCATTATTGCACAGAGGAAAGCAATCGAGTGTTGTATAGTAATCTTGTATCCTACAACCTTGCTATAATTGCTTATTAGTTCCAGAATTTTTTGTTGTTGATTCTTTCAAATTTTCTAGATGATCATGTCATTTGCACACAAAGGGGTTTATTTCTTCCTTCCCAATTTGTATACTGTTCATTTCCTTTCCTTGCCATATTGCATTAGCAAGAATCTTCAGTATGATGTTGAAATGGAGGGGACATCCTTACCTTGTTCCTGTTCTTAATGGGAAAGCTTCAAGACTTGCTCCTCCTTAAAAGGTCATATTAAAAATCATCACCCTCAGGAGAGTTGGGTAGTCTTCCTAATCTATGAAAACATTATTTTTCTTGAAATATGCAATATTTAAGAAGAGAATGAAGAATTATTTATAAGCTTTGCAACTAATTTGTGGTAGAGGTATAGTTTCTATTCTTTCAAACCAGTTTCTAGTCTAATAAAATAGAAACTTCTTATAGGAAACTGGCAGAGGCCACTGCTATTGCATCTGGGGATTTATTTCACTCTATTTAGTCCCATCTCTTGCTGTCACATCTTTCAAATAATTTTAAGGAACACTGTATTATAAAAGTAATACATACAAATGTTTAAAAATTCAAACAACACACATTTTTATGAAATAGAAACCAGAATCTCCCTTTTATCCCTCTTCCCCAGAGGTAACCACTGTTAACAGTTTCTTGTGAGACCTTTCAAAATTTACACATATATAGCCACAAATTTACTCTCTGCAGTATACTTATTGATGCTTAAATAATTTTTCCAGATTATTTAGGACACTTATTTGATACAAATGTATAATTTTAGCTAATTCTTCTTTTCTTTAAGTATTTGGTGATGGATGTACAGCTGATGGTGGGAGGGCGCCACCATCATTCCAACCTGGACCCTGAAGAGTATGTGTTTGCTGCTCTGAACATCTACATGGACATAATCAACCTCTTCCTTTTTATTTTGCAACTGGTTGGACTGGGACGGTAGTCATATAGCCAAGGCTGGCTTGTGCTGAAAAGAGGGAAGGAGGGATGCCTATGAAGTGTTGCCAGGCTCAGACGTGCAGAGGTTACCAATCCATAAGCCCTTTTATTTAAAAAAATTTTTTTAAATACTTATTTTTTTTGGTCAAATGAAAGCAAGCATTCAGTAGATGGTAGCTGTAGCTGTTATATGTTTTTAGTTCCATTGTCACATTGAAAAACTTTCTGGCAGATACTTCTGATCTTTATAAATTCAAAAGATGAGCACAAAATTATATACTTAAAAACATTTGTAAGATGCACATTACTTTGTTGAGGTTTTCCAGGCACTATTTAAAGCTGTAAATATCTCTCTACATGAATAAAATTGATTACAGAAACCTACATTTACTCCATTCTCTTCACTTCATTTGGACATTCTGTGGGAATATTTTGGCATCTGACTTTAAAAAATAATTTTCTTTTTTAAAAGAGTAAGATAAATCAAAGAGTTCTGCTTTTCTCTTAGATTCCAGAGTCAGACCGGAGAAGTGAATTCTATCACGAGCAATCTCTTTGCTTCTATCTTGAGCAATCTCTTTGCTTCTATCTCAAACCATCTGTTTGCTCCCAGGGAAGACTTTGGAGTCTAAACCACTTCAATGTCTGGCATGAAGATACATGAAGGGGCTGTTTCCAGCATAAGTGAGTTGTGCGGGTGTGGGGGGGAGAATGGGGGAGTTAGATGGACTCTTCTGGTCTCCCTAGAATTATTTATCATAGATCTTTATTTCTAGATTTAACTGAACATACAGATCTCAAGTAAGATGTATGGACTTAAGTACAAGTACTATAGTCACATACACCTGACTTTCTGATTACCTGTTGTTTCAGATTAGCCATGTCACCATTAATTTAGTAGAGTTTCTTACTGTGTTTATGATCTCTTATTACTACCAACAAAGTCCTGAAGTCTGAAACATGAGCAAATAGAAAAGAAAGGAACTTTCAATAACCCAGCAAAAAATCTGGGAGGAGGACCTTCTAAATCTTCTGGGTCAGCATATCTTAAACATCACCATGTTATATGGACATCTGCTGAAGGCTTTGGTACGAAAGCCATGGTGAATTAAATCCATGCAAGAAAGCAGATTCAGCCGGGAAGCTTGAGGTTTTGTATATTCTTTTGGCATCAAGATAACCTTCCTGCATATAATAGGGACATGCTGGCCAACTTCTTTCTTCACTGAAGTTTCTGCTGTCCCTGTACCACATTAGGCACTTCTTTATCTCAGCAATGTCCCAGCCACACACAGCCCACTGTGAGTCTACTGTATGTGCCACCACATAGCAGTGGTGACTTGGTGACTCAATTAAAACAAATTTTAACGCTTCTATGACAATCTTTTGACTTTTACATTTAGTAAGGATTCTGAGCAAGACATACCTTTTAGAATCAGTCTATCAAACAAGTAGATTAATTTGTTCTCAATGTTAGAAATTCATCTTTTGAGAAGAGAGTCCACGATTTGAAAATCTGTCAGGAGTGGTCCCAAATCCAATGATGGGTACACATTTGTAAATCAAATCAAGATGTCCATAATGGGGCAATGGAAGCTTAAAGAAAAAGAGAGAATTCATAGAAAAATTTAGGTTATATTTTATGTAATGCCCACAAATGTTGGGCCTAAAATTTACTTTTAACTTTTCTCTTTTATATTATCCCAAATAGGTATTCCCTCATCCAGATTTAGGCATGGTTTGCTGAGCAAATGTATCTCTACACAAGTAGGCCCTGGTTAAACTACTCATGTTAAAGGCTGGTGCACAGTTAGCCATGGCCTTTCAAAAACCAGTGTGCCACTTTGCACTCACAGGCTCAAAGCAGGTCAGTGGCCAAAATGCTGTGGCATATGTTTGACATTACTGTAGTATTACTATACTACTACTGTCATATGTTGGCAGTTTCAGTATCTTTTGCTTAACCAAAGTCCTTGAAACAAATGAATCAACTGCAATGGTTCCCAAGTTGTAGCAATACTGATAGCTTGTAATGCACTAAGATAACATTTGATTTATCAAATTGTTGCTCTAAAGCAGGGGCCAGCAAACATATGACGCAACCAAAATTTGGCCTGCTATCTTTTCATTTCTTAACATTTTATTTTGAAATAACTATAGATTCGTAGGAAGTTGCAAAGATAATTCAAAGAGGCCCTGTGTACTCTTTACCCAGTTTCGTCCAATGGTTATCTTTTACATAAGGTACAATATCAGAATCAGGAAACTGACTCTGGTATAATATGTATGTACAGTTCTGTCATTTTATCACACGCAGATTCATGTTGCCCCCACTGTAACCAAGACACAGACTGTTCCATCACCACAATATCCCTTGTTCTACCCGCTTATAGTCACACATACACCTTCCTTCCCCAAAGCATCCTTAACTCCTGGTAACCACTAATTTGTTTCCATCTCTATTATTTTGCCATTTAAAAATGTTAAATGAATGTAATCATACAGTATGTGACATTTGGAGATCAGTGTTTTTTCACTCAGCATAATGCCCTTGCAGTCCATTCAAGTTGTGTCACTAGTTCACTCCCTTCTATTGCTGAGTGGTATTCCATTGCATGGATATATGGATATACCACAGTTAATCATTCAGCTACTATAGGATATTTTGGTAGATTCGTTTTTGGCTCTTACAAACACAGCTTCTTTGAACAACTGTGCACAGGTTTTTATAGACCTAAGTTTTCACTTCTCTGTGATAAATGCCGAGGAGAGTAAATGCTGGGTCATATAATTATACGCTTAGTTTTTAAAGAAATTATCCAACTATTTTCCAGGGTGGCTGTACCATTTTACATTCCCACCAGCAGTGTATGAGTGACCCAACTTCTCTGCATCCATGGCAGCATTGGTGTTGATACTAATTATTTTGTCCTCTCTGACAGGTGTGTAGTGTATCTTACCGGGATTTTAATTTGCATTTCCTAACTGATAGTGATGTTAAACATCTTCTCATGAACCTTTTTGTTAGCCATACATCTTTTTTGGTGAAATGTCTCTTCATGTCTTTTGTCCATTTTTTATTGGATTGTTTTTTACTGTTGAGTTTTGAGAGTTCTTTATATATTCAAGATATGTGGTTTGCAAACATATCTGTAGCTTGTCTTTTCATCTTCATAAAGTCTTTTGCAGAACTAAGCTTTAAATTTTGATGAAGTCCACGTTATCAATTTTTTCTTTTATGGATTATGCTTTTGGTATCAAGTGTAAGATTCTTTGCTTAACCTGGACCATAAAGACATTCTACTATGTTTTTATTAAAAGTCTTATACTACTTGTTTCAAGTTTTACATAGTGTGAGGTTTAGAGATTCATATAACTCTTAATCTGTCTTTATAACTGTCTTATAACTTATTGTTCCAGCACCATTTATTAAAAAGATTATCCTTCCTCCACTGAATTACTTTTGCACCTTTGTCAAAATCAATTGATGATTTTTTTTAGGGGGTGGTTATTATTCTCTGTTGTGTTCTATCTATGTGTCTACCCTTCCACCAGTATCACAGTCTTTATTAATGTAGTCTTGAAGCTGGGTAAAATGATTTCCCCTACTTTATTTTTCTTTTTCAAAGTAGTTTTAGTTCCTTTACCTTTCCATGTTTCTAGAATATTTCTAAATCTTAATAGCTACAAGAAAATGTTGCTGGGCATTGGTAGAAGCTGCTGCCAAGCAGCTGAAGCAAGCCTGGGCATTCTGTGGACTGAGGCTCCCATTAAGCCGGTGGCTTTGCTTCAGGGTGAAGTTGTGCATAAAATATCCCCCAAAGGGGTAGTTATCAATTTTTCATGTAAAAGTAACTTACTGCTACAGTCAGGCTAGCCACACTCTCTAATACACCGTTTGTTTGATTTGCAAGGCCTACTGGGCCCATGTTAATTCTCCAGTTCCAGGTAACCCACCCATAAGTGGAGATGTCACACTAGTGAGTCCCAAGGCCTCCGTGGGTCAGGCATTCAGTTTCAAGAGCCTAGGAGCCAGTTTAAAGCTGCCTTTCTCCTAAATGGGTGCACTTGGTAGCTGCATCCGGCAGGTGGCAATGTTGTGCTGGGAAACGGCCTGAGTATTTGGGCTGCCTCCAAACCTTTTAAAAAAGGAATGATTTCACTTTCTCCTTCCGGATTTCTCTGCTGTTTCTGCTGGATCACCAGAGAGGGGACGAGCAGGCAGGATGGGGAGTGATTTATGTCCCGCTCTTACCTCTACATGTGGCAGTCCCTCAAATGAGAAGCCCCACTGACAATCATGAGACAGGTACTTGTGGGCACACATCAATTTCATTAGACATTCGGTATTGGGAGCCACATTACATTCCATCACCCAAAGGTCTCCACTAACAAGGGAAGCCTCCCTTCTCCACTATGGGGTGTGTTCAAATTCTTTTTTCATGGCCGAACAGTCTCAGATGCGTGTGAGTCAGGAGCTACAGCAGGTGGCAAATAGATGCCAGGTCACCCTGTCGCTCCAACAGAGAGGGTAAAGAGCCCAAGAGGTGGGTGGGGGGGGGGGATGGGGCTGCAGGGAGAGACAGTTGTTGGCCTTTTCTGTTCTTTAGCACCTTGCTCCAGGGCTGTCAGCATCCAGAGAGCAGGGCCCAGGAGTTTCTTCATGCACACTTGGTCTTTACCTGCAGTCCTTGGCACCTTCTGTCTCACACCCAGCGCCTCGTTCTCACTGCTGGCTTTGTCAGGGGTCAGGGGCCAGGGCTTGAGGTGGCCTCATCTGCATTTGTAGGCAAGGCTTTGCAGTCCCTTTTGCTGTGACTCTTTGCAGCCTACATGAACTTCTCATGTTTTTGGTCCACTCAAAGCTCTCAAAGAGTACGGTTCTTATTGCTGATGCCATTTTTTTCACATTCGGGGCTCCCTGAATCTCAGCAGCCACAGCCACACTGCCTTTCAGGTGCATCCACAGAACTGCTGACTCCTTCTCATGAAAACTTTCCTTCTGGTCTGCCTGTAGGAGTTAGCCACAATGCAGGCACCATTTGGACAGCTTGTTTCAACTCTAGCTCTTATCCTTAAGCCTGTAAACATTAGTTCAACTCCTCTTCAGTAAAAGGCAGGACAGTGGGAACCCTTACTCCCCCACCTCTTGTTTATCACTTGGGTGAGAGCATTTACTGCCAGATAGATTCCAGGGAGTCTTCTATTCCAGAACCTGGCCCGTGGTTTCTCTTCCAGAAAATGATGTCTCTCTTAGCATTCCATCCTTGCTGCCAAAATTCTTGGGTCTGGGATTTGATTTTACCATATTTACAAGCCAGTAAAAGTTAGCCTGTCAGTTTCATG